ACCCTAAGAGCGATGGCCTCCAACCTAAGAGCGATGGCCTCCACTCTTAGAGCGATGGCCTCCAACCTATAGCGATGGCCTCCACCCTTATCCAAGAGTGGCCTCCAACCTAAGAGCGATGGCCTTTAACCCAAGAGCGATGGCCTCCAACCTAAGAGCGACGGCCACCACCCTGCTAGCGATGGCCTCCAACCCAAGAGCGATGGCCTCCACGCGATGGCCTCCAACCTAAGAGCGATGGCCTCCAACCCAAGAGCGATGGTCTCCACCCTCAGAGCGATGGCCTCCACCCTTAGAGCGATGGCCTCCAACCTAAGAGCGATGGCCTCCACCCTTAGAGCGATGGCCTCCACCCTAAGAGCGATGGCCTCCAACCTACTAGCGATGGCCTCCACCTTACGAGCGTTGGCCTCCACCCTAAGAGCGATGGCCTCCAACCTACTAGCGATGGCCTCCAACATACTAGCGATGGCCGCTAACCTAAGAACGATGGTCTCCAACCTAAGAGCGATGGCCTCCACCCTTAGAGCGATGGCCTTCACCCTAAGAGCGATGGCCTCCAACCTACTAGTGATGGCCTCCACCCGAAGAGCGTTGGCCTCCACCCTAAGAGCGATGGCCTCCAACCTAAGAGCGATGGCCTCCAACATAAGAGCGATGGCCTCCAACCTACTAGCAATGGCTTCTAACATTCCGCTACACACAGCAATATGCTCGAACAACAGAGTCAGAGAACCTGGTGCTTGCATGAAACTTTGACACTTGTCCTTTCAGGCTTCTCGAATGCTGATCTGGCAAATCATTCACCATCGCTAGGTGCGGGAAATGCATGCCACAAGCGCCGGATGGGCAGCTCCCCCTCAAGCCTGATGAGTGGATGCCTCAGCGGTTGTTGTGCTGGTCAAGGGAGTTGGGGATTGAGAATTTTATGAAGGTGACAGTAGAGAGTTCACTAAGACCAAGACAGCTAGGTCATCCTGCCTCTTGGTGTATAGTTACTACCTTCAGGTCATTCGTAGCCGCCTGCTCAAGACCGGGAGAGAGATGACTCGGGCCGTTTGGTTTGGGGGTGCTTTAGACTTTCATGATTGTCACCCATTGAAACTAGCATCGCTCTCCCAGGCTGTATTCATTGGGATAGACGCTCTTTGTTTGACAGGGAATACATCCAAACAACCAGGCTTGAGTCAGCCAAATGAACAATTGCCAGGTTATCCACAATTGTCATGCTCAATTCCTGCGTAGAGTGCATTTGCTTTAGTCCAATCAAAAGACAAATGTTTGTCCCCAGTGGAGAGTTAAGAGCAAGCTGGAAATGGGTGTGCCGGAGGAATGTCATCATGATCATTGGTCATACTCCCCATGTGCAAGCAACCAGTTAAAGATACAAAATGCTGCGGCAATAAATCATGTATGAACAAGAGAAAGCTAGATGGATGTGTTTGTTTTGTTTTGCGCATTTGTCGTTATTTTAGGGCTTGCAGATGGGCTTGCAGCACATTCCCAGGCTTGTCTTGGGCCAGGCTTCTGACATCCAGGCGGCTGGTGACCCTTATAGAACCTACTGCGAGCTTTTCAGGGATTTGTTGGTTCCTACGGCTCATGATCACACTTTGGGTCTCTTGCAGATGAGAGCGTCAGTGCGCTCACAAGGAACGTGATCGAGTGCAGGAATCTGATAGGGGATATGGATCTAGTTGACAGGAGCGGTCTTTGTTCCCACGGGTAGCGACTGACCATATTGTATCACTATAGCTGATTTTGTTTCAGAGGTCTCTTCATTGTTAGAGTGGTGGGTGAACAGCCTTTTGCAAGGATCTTGCAACGAAACAAACGAGCATTCCATTGCTGAGGGCACAAGAGCTGATTGGTGCAAGAGGGGCTCAGTGAACTGATTCTGTCAAGGCGATTAAAGAAAATTCGGTTCTTTCAAAACTACAGCTGGGAACGTTGGTTGAGGATGTTCCTGTGCATGTCAATCAATTGTTGTCTATGTTCAATGAGAAGTGCACCTTTGGGAAGTGTGCTGGAAAGACTTGAGCTTCCCAAAATGTTGCCAGAATCTTGCAGCAGCAAATACACCCAGGTAGTTGAATCCAACACTCTAGATGCCTCCCCACACCATGCATGCTGGGAGGCCCTGACCGAGAACATCAACGAGGAGCCAAGATGTTGTTTTTGAAGCCTTCCGGGCCTTTGACAGCCAAGCGCCAGTGGGTTTGTCCAAGAATTGTTCATGGAAGACATCCTGCACCTTTTGATTGAGGGAGCAACGAAGCATTATTTTGCTGGGTTGCTGTTATGAGTTCTTTCACCATGCTAACATCTTTGGAGCTCCGGGGGTATAACTCAATGAGGTGACAAGGTGCACGCAGTCCGAAGGAGACCCAAGTTTAAGAGGTGATCCATACCACCTGCAGCTGTGAACACTGGGCCTGTGGTGACGCACAGACACACACACACACACACCTTCAGGAGAGATGCTCATCCACCATCATCCACCTGTTGTTTCTTGAAGATTTTGGTTCGATACCATCAAATCCTCAACCCCACCAACGTGATACAAAATCCGACAATTCCTTAGAATCCAACAACAAACTTCAAGAACCTTACTGTACAAAGGTTTGCAATGTTAATGTTAGTTAGCAAGCCATCCTGGTTTGCAAGCGCTGCCCCTGCTCAGTATGGCATGATATGCCACTCACCCAAACGCGGTGCCGGGTTGCCCAGTTGCGAAAATCCTCCCAGTCACCAACATGGAGGGAGAGTTGGAGGAGGACGACGCAGGTCCTGTAGATATTGAAGGAGAAGATGTGAAGGACCATATGCAGGATGCTGATGCGCTGGAGCGTTTGAAGGTGCTCAGCATCCAGTCTCTTTGTCGGAGCTGCAGAAAGAATACATCCCCTTGTTCAGGAATCATCGGAAAACTCTTGTTCTAGGGCTGGGGCTGGGGTGCATTTTCTCCATTCCATTTTGGTGAGTGGGGCCTGTGAAAGCAGTTGCACCCAAACGTTCTATTTGGGTGCGTGCCTTCCCAAGAGACCTTGCCCAGGCCGCAAGGCGATCGCCTTTCTTGCGCCAGGATGAGGCATTTGGGCTGAGGATGAAGGAACCATAAGGAACCGAGGGTGTAAAGAATATTGAACACAGTTTTGAGAAAGCTTATTCTTATTGCAGGAACCTGTGAAGACTGGAAGAAGAAACCTGTTTGGCGTGGTGACCTATTTTGGTAGAAGGCATTTGCTGGCAGAAGAACATGGCTGCGACGCGTGGTTTGTGTGAAGTGAGACGACCACAGAGGTAGAATTAGGTTGTCGTTGGAGTGCATCCAATCTCTATCTCGTCTATCTTGGCCGATCTTGGCTGAAGCCAAGATAAGATTCCTGCAGCTGCAGTTTATTTCAGCCACATTGTCATCCTCTTGTGCCAGGGCATGGTGAAGTTCCACAATCGGCAATCAAGGACTGCAGCTCAGCCAAATCTCTTATTATTGAATCTGCGAGAAATTCTAAAAAACTGCCAAGCAATCTGTATTTTGCGAACGATAATCCTTACGAAGTGTCCTAGACTAAATTCTTCTAGTTTCCACTTATATAACTCGCCAGGATCGAACAGCTGGGCGAGCGACTCCACCTGACGGCCGGCCCCAAACGGGTGAAATGGGGCGAAGATCGTTTTGGACGAGAAAAGTTTGGGTTTTTGGAGCAAAAACAAGTGGGCATCCTTGCGGACATTGCGCCAACATGCATCAAATTGGGCCAGCAGTGAGTTACATGGTAGAGGCAGAAGTGCACGGATGTTTCTGTGCAGTGTAGACTGTAGACCAATTGGTGCCTGTGTGAATGGATCTACTACGTCAAACACTGATGTCCGCTGTCTATAGCGCACGCGTTGAAGCCGCACCCAGTCCACTTTATGAGTCAGATGGCCGGGAGAAGGTGTCCATAGCTCTCAAGCTCTCAAGAAGACCCTCACTTATGTACATGTGATTGGGTCAGGTCACCAAAGCTATCAAATCTCACTGCTTGACTTGGAACCACACCTCCCGCGTTCACACAGGCGACGCATCCAATGAAGTTCTTCCAGCGCACGGTTGAGACGCCAGAGGCACTTGCAATGAATGCTGACACTGAGGAAACAAACAGAGGTATCCTCCACCCTAGTGGCGATGGCCTCCAACCTCCTAGCGATGGCCGTCTTCTAGTGATGGCCTCCAACCTACTCTCCATCCTAGTAGCGATGGCCTCCACCCTAATGTGGAGGTGATCTTCCAGGCCTTTGGTGGCACACTTTCAAGGACACCAAATGTTTGTGGGTGAAATACCTTGGGACATCTCGACGTGTCATATCATGTGACTATGTATATAATCAGTTGATCATAGTTGATCAGCGGTCCATCCTTTGCGATCAATAAACTTGCGGGTTGAAGGATCATTGCATGTTGGTACGCTCCAAGGTACTTAGCGGAAATGGAGAGTCGACTCTTTAACCGGATATTGTTTTGCTGCTTGGCCTGTGAGCACCTTACATCCGTTGAGTACTTCCTTCGAACTCTTGAACCAACTCTCAGTCTCGAATGCTTTCACACACTGGGGCGCAAACGGCGCAAGAGGCGTCGTCGCCAGGACATCGAGTTGATGCCTGGGATGACGCGGTCCCGTTTCTCGTGGCCCGGACACTGTAAATTGGAGGTTTAGAAGTTGAAGACCAAACCTGTGCCTTAGTGAGCCTTAGTGCCTTTGTAGACTGCACAGAGTCTGTGTTTTCCTGTTGCTGGAAAAGAGGAGGAGAAGGAGAACGAGCAAGATTTGGAAGATATTGCCTCACCCCTGCGCTTTGCTCCAAGCAGCAAGTGCTACCCGGGTACACCAAGAACGGGGGGTTCTATCCAAGCGCGGCCCTCTACAGCAGATACACGTCGAGTAGTCCGATCGCGTCGATCTAAAATTCTCAACAAGAAGAACCATTCAAACGCCGCAACTGCAGAGTTCCCGCATCCAAACACGCGCACACCGTTTCATTCTTTTCTTAAAGAACGGAGAGCCAAGAGCCACGGAGGGCCGTTTACCTCTCGTGTTCTCCGAGGAAAGATGATTTCACGGGGTATGACGTGAAGATGAACCCTGAAGGCCGACGGTCGCGGCTGAGGAGCTCTGATCATGTCTTGTTCAGATCATAACAAGTATACGAGTGGGCCAGCCACTGGTCTTTTGCGCTTCTGGAATGGATGATAGAGGTTTCTTCATTGGCCCCACTTGGCAATCTTACTATTATATAGTAAATAAAAATAAATGAATCTAAATGACATCACCTGTGGTTGCTTCCTGTCTTTTTGCACTGATGAACCGGAAGCCTGTTTTGTCGGGATTGTGTGGAACAATATGAATGAGTGATGTTAACCCCTGCTGCTTCAGAAGGACACCACAGCGAATTCATGCGAATTCTAAATTTCGCAATGTTTGCTGGTCAGGCTTCCAATTGCGAACCAAAACGAATCTTGCCCAACGGGTTTTTCCTCCCCTGAACCCAATGTCAAAAACCCACCCTTATTTGGTAGGATATCTTGTGCTTTCCTCCCCTTCCCGGTCGTCCGACTGGTCAACAAGCCGCGATCAGGTGACTCGAGCTCGGACACTGACGAGGACTCCGCCGACTCCATCTCCCAAGTGCCGCCGGGGAGCCCGGGATGTCGGTGCACGGGGAAGGCTGGTGGACTTGAGGGATTTCCACGCCAAGACTGTGGGTAGGTTGAATTCGGTCGAATTCGGTTGAATGGTGCAAGACTTAATTATGACTCCGAAGTCGGTCCAAGTTCAGACATTCTCAACGTGGACCCTGGGTGAAATAGCTTGCTGGCGAATTTGAATCCTATACTATACCTATTGCAAGTCCTGCCTTCTAGGTGGTTTTGGGATAAACATTATTTTCAATCACTGTCACATCTTCGAAGCAAAACGCAGACACTCACTCTAGATATGATACGTTCGATTGTGTTTCAGGCCTTAGTCAAAAAAAACCTGAGTAAACCAAGTTCGAAACGGAACAATTTGAAAACGGCAGGTATGGTGGAGTGGCCAACTCCACTCCCATCGTGCCTAGCTTTCTCATACCAGAGCAGCAGCAAGATAGAGGTCAAAAAAGACTCCCTATGATTCCAAGGGCTACACGCGCGCGGGCACCAGATCTAAGGTCCACGCCGAAGGTGAAAGGAGCAAAAGGAGGAAGAAGGAGGAAGGTGGAGTGGCCAGGTGGCAGGTGTTCTCACGTGTCTCCAGCCTGAGTATCAGCAACTGTGGGGATTGGAAGGAGGAAGAAGGAGGGAGAAGGAGGAAGAAGGATTCGGTGCTCAACGCACCCAGGGTTCCACACACACGCGCCCCTGAGGGGAGCGCCAGCCTGAGGGGGGGTGGCGCCAGCCTGAGGGGGGCGCCAGCACTGAGGTTTGCGCCGAAGTGAGAGGAGAAAGGAGGGGGAAGGCGGAGTGGTCAAGAAACAGGTTGCCCCGCAGGTCTCCGGGCTGAGTTTCAGCACCCGTAGCGAAAGGGAGGAAAAAGAACAAGAGAGGAAGGAGGAAGAAGGAAAAGGGAATCAGTGCCCAACTCACCAAATGCGGAAGGAAGGAAGGAAGGACGAACGAACGAAGGAAGGAAGGAAGGACAGTGCACTCCACAGAAGCCAAAGGCTTCCTATAATCCAAGGGTATCCAAGGGTTACAAATGCATACGCCCCGCGCTAGGCGGCGGTTGAAGCACATGTGCGCGCAAAAGAGGACAAGCGAAAGGATATGAAGGAAGAACATGAAAAAGCACCCGATGTGTGTGGAGGGCACTACTTCGGGCTCACTCCGAGATGAAGAAATGGCCACCCGGCCATATCCAGTTCGAACCTGGCAGCCTCAGGACACTTTTGAAGAAGTTCACCACCGAACAGGCCAGAGTCTGCCAGAGTCGCCTGCCTGTCTCCAACACCAAAGTTTCAAGCCCTCAGACAAGCCTACCGCAAAGCCGATAGTCTTGTTGAGTATAGGCAGATGATATACATGTGTTTGATTTGTTGAAAACCAGCAATGACAAGCGCACGCTTCCAACATTTGTCTCATTGGCCGTCCTTCACAGCTTTTAAGATCTCACTCTTTCACCCAGTCCTTTCGTTTTTCAGATTCTTTGGGTTGTTTCGGAGGTGAGTCGGATGGAGCTGGTGGCGCTCAACCATGTCGCTCGACACAGGGAACAACGATTGACAGCTACGGCAAAGATAGCGGCTGCGGCAGGGGCGGGGGTGGTGGTGGCAATGAAGATTTTCTTAAGACCAGCAGTGATCCTGAGTCTTCCGGAAGAAACATGTCGTGACCTGCCAACATCCATCTGGGAACATGTGGATGCACATAGCTGATAGGTCAATACACACAATACACATATCATTTACTATTACAAGGCCCAAAGTCAAAGGCTATCCGGAAGAAGCGGCTCACATGGTACTTTGAGTGGTGCACTATGGTGCACTCACTGAATGGATAACTAATTCTTAGAGCTACGGACGTTCCAACCCTGTTAGGGGATCTTCAGTCATCATGGGTTGTGGTCAGCGGTGAGGATATACCTATGCCAATACTCTTGTGACTCTTGTGCATGCTGAGGTGAAGATCCAGGTCTTGAAAAAGCGCCGGGGCACTGAGCGAACTGGATGTCGCTGTCAAGAGACTGCTTTGATCTGGGGGGAAATGCACCATGCTGGAATCCCATGTTTGAAGTCCAAGTGCAGTAATCTTATGTAATATTTCAGGTGACGGTGATGATATGTAATAGCAACCTTGCGAACTCGACACTGCTGTGGCTTAAAGGTGGGTTGTCCCCTTCAAGTGGACCTTTTTCATTCGGGCCTTGTGCAGTGCCTGACTCCGTGACACAAGTGAGAATTGAGACACAAATGAGCTCAAACAGTATGTCGTTTGATACAGATACAGTGCAGTGCACGGTGCATAACTTGCACGTGCATGGAGTCACTTCTTTTCCTAAGAGAGCAGGGTGAAACGATGGTCACCCTTTGTATGAAACTTGGCGAATAGGGTTCCCAATTTGCAGCTCAGCCAAACAGATGCACGAACATGACCTGAGACCAAGTTTGAGCTGTAGCTGGAAATCTCCATATCTAGAAGATTTACGGAGTCTTCGCGAAAATGTTTTCCGCACTAAAACAATTGCGCCTTTAGAACAAGTGCTTGTTGATTCTTGCTTCGACTTGGAGATTGACCATGACTCTGTTCGGCCAGGCATTGCTGAGGAAGGTGCACACTCAGTGCGGGCGTCCGGGGAGCACAGTGATCACAGTGGAGGGGTAAATTTTGCAGCCAGCTGCCTTTCGTTGGAGTACATGCACGCACTGTGTGGTTGTCTAAAGCTGTTTATATCTTACCAAAGAACTTCAGCAACTTTCCGCCATGATAAACGAGCATCTTCGAAGCATGAGAGAAGAGGAATCTTCCAAATGCAACCCCCGTAGCAGTTCTACCCAAACTACCTAGCGCACCTGTTTCGGACACCCAAACTAAATAAACCTGAATGTCAATCCATGTATGATAATGTGATAATGTGTATAAGTAAACGCTGGAAGTCCAAAACAAAGCACGGGTCCAATTATTGTTTCTGAATTTACAAATTTCTTTTTATCTACGGTGAAGTTAGGACGTTCGTGGACTTTCGACTTTTTGAAAGCTTCGGTTGGTTTCAGTGACCCTCTGATACTTTCTGTTTCGGCCGGTCATCGACATGTTCTCGACCAAGGCGTCGGACCTTCGTCCAAACGAAGTTCTCCTCTCTTTGGCCGCTCCGATGGTCAAGAGTCAAGACATGTCGAGACCGAAATTCTGCACTGGAAAGCTGATAGCCATGGGACAGGGAGTGAACTCACATTCCAGATCCTTTGGTTGCTGTTCTGGTACTCAGTCTGGGTGATGGGGTGACTAAAAAACCCTTTGGCGTTGACGAGGTGCACGGTTGGCACGAATTGAGAGCTACACAAACACAGAAAACTTAACCAATCTTGGATACGTTGATAACACCAGATGGGATACACGAAACCACCTCATAATCGCCCGATGTATGTGAAGCATCTTATGGCATTCTCTTAGTGTTTGGTTAATTCAGTTCGTCTTAGGGCTTTCCGCACTGGGCGCGAAATCATACCAAACTCGATTGACCCGGACGACCTAGTGATCGAGGCAGCTCCTTCGGATGCGGCAAGATGGATCGAGCCTTGACGGAACGAATAATTCCGAATGGGCCTACGGTTGTCAGGAGAAAACGCAAGTAGGTTGGAGGCCATCGCTATTGGGATGGAGGCCATCGCTAGTAGGTTAGAGGTCAGAGAAGATCGCAGGGGGTCCAATCTATGGGACCCTCTAGGAGTCTAGGAGTATATAGAGGGAAAAAGAGAGAAGAAAAGGAAGGCGAGGCCACCTTTGATCAGGGCCCCTTTCAAGGGGGCCTTGTCCTTTTTGTGGTTGAAAGTAGTCAAAAGGGGTTCACAGTTGTTGTTGATTGTATTTCCCTCTACGTACCTCCCGAGTCTTTCCTGTATCTAACGATATCTAACGGAACCCAATTCATCGAGTTCACTGGGGGAACTAGTTCAGTCACGGCTACGTAACCCCCTCCAAGCCGCCAATAGTGAATAGACAGTTCATGAGGGAAGGTTCCAGAACATCAAATTTATTACTGGGGGTCGCCCCCATTCTCGATAGCCTGCAGGTTTGAGGACCCAGAACCCACAGAACACGTTTGATTATATAAATGTTGTCCACTTTTGAGTCCTAGTTGTCAGCTGTGTATGTTTTCAACTACACCATTGTTTTCTTGACTCTTCTGTGCGCAATGCCCTTGACCTCAACCTTGGGAACCGAAATCCCGCGCACTTTCATGGTTCTGGGTGGAGCGTTATTAAAGAGGCTTTCACGAAAGGCAGCATGCTCAAACATGAACGGGGAGGGCAACCTGCCTGCATCTTTGGGACACACATACTTTCCAGCAGCACACTTCGAGGCTCAGAGACAGACATGTGGAACGGCCAGTTCCAACATACTTCCTTGAGGCTGCAGAGGAGGCCATCGCTCCTTGTAGTTTCAACACCCAAGCGATGCGCCGGCGCTTGGCTCAGGATCACCGCTGAAGAGAACTACTACTTGACGCTTGGGTTGTGCAGGGGCCAGTGCGGGGTCAGGTCTTTCAGGGACGCGGAGGTGCACCCGGAAGAGCACAACAAGAAGCTACTAGGAACAAGTGCATCGCTACTAGTAACAAGTGCCTTACTAGTAGTAACAAGAAGCTACTAGGAACAAGTGCATCGCTTCTACTAACAAGAAGCTAGTAATGACATGACTCGGACATTGAACGCACCATGCCTTGGCCAGTTTTGACGCGCCTGGGATGCACTGGTGATGGCCTGGATCTAATATCTAGTCTATTGTGCCGGCCAGCAGTTGTGTGCTGCACAGAGGTCCAAGAACCATTTTGTTGCACGCCTCGAAAACGAGTTACCTTGAAGGGGCATTGGCCAAACATGTATTTAGCCCATGCTCATTTGTGGAACTGAGGATGATGCAATTGAGAGGTCTGCTGGATGTCCCAGGAAGCGAAAGGGAAGATGGGATGACTTTGAAGGAGTGGAAGTCTGATCCAGATACCTTAACGGTGTGAGACCATTTGATGAGTGGTTGATGGGGGTCCGGGGGTCCCAACAATGTCCTGCATGAGAAAACACTTCGGAACAAGAGTGTACAGTCTTAGAGCACCTCCTCTGCCTGGTTCATGCTGGGAGAGCGAGGGTCATACTCATTAGGTCCCGACACAAGCAAAGCTTTGTCAATCACTTGATCAAGAGGTGAGAAGATCTCGAGAGAACAGTGTATTTGCACACTAGGAGCAAGGATGCTACTAGGAGCAAAGGGCATCTCTACTAGGAGCAAGGACGCTACTAGTAGCTTAGTAGCAATGGTGCAAAAAGAGCTGTGCAAACCGATTGCTCTTCATGGTCCCACGGTCCCACGAGGCGGCTACGGCTAAGCTGCTTCGGGGAATGTCCGAAAGAAGACACAAACTAGTGGCGTCCTTGCTCCTAGTAGCGATGCCCTTTGCTCCTAGTAGCGTCCAAACTACAGAAAGTCATACATAGTGCGGGGTCTTCCACACTACCGCTTGTACTTATTCAATGCCTGTTATTAATCAATAAACAAAGGGCAAGTAAGAGGTCATGATACACAAAGTGTCATCGTAATTCAAACTCATCACAGGAGTCCCTGGTTTGCAGATCTTTGCAAAACTATTTTCAAATTGCGTTCTGCATTGAAGCGGTGCCGAGGCCATTCTTCAATGAAATTTCTTCAGATTTGCTGGAAGCCCAGACATTGCAGATATCTTCATGCAGATGTCCTATTTTTGTCGGAACTTTTGGTCTGTTGAAGCGTTTAGTGGCTTTGGCTTTGAACTTTCGGCCTTCTAGACTTCATGGCGATAGGTGCCTGACGAGGCTTCTGCGCCTTCTGGGGCTGTGAATCATGTGTGTCTATGGTGGTTCATCGATTTTCGCTTTCCAAGCTCCCAGTCTGCCGTGGCTTTGTTGCGAATTAGTAGAGTGTTTACCGGTGTTTGGGGGGTTCAGCATAGAGATGGCAAAACCACCATGTACACTGCGAATTTGGATCACAATCTCCACTTCGTACTGCGTTTCGTTTCGCAAGGCATGATGCCATCGTGGAGCAGACGACCACCCAAACCTATGTGCCAGGCGAGACGAGTTCCCTGTGGGGCGAAGTCCGCGAGTCTCAAGAGCTTTCTATGAGAACTGAGAGCTTGCATGAGCTTGCTAGCTTCTAGAGTATGCGAGCTGCTACAGGTTATTGCACTTAGAAGCGGTAATTGCAGGAACTATCCCATCACTAAGTGGGCTCACACAAAGACAATTGCTAGCTTTCCGCCAATTCGCTGAGGTGATGAGGTCAGATGTAATTTGATCAGAAGTTTCTTTCGATCTGCGTCGCAGCGTCGCATCCCGACAGGTCGCCTAGCGCTCTCTCCAAACCAACGGAGTAGTAACCTTTGGCTGCTGTCGAGAGATTCATCCTCCCTCTAGCATTTTGATGGAAGGGTTGATGGGTTACAAGGTTTGGACCGAAGTATTTAGTAAAACACCCCAGCAGCTTCCTTGGAGGCAACGTCGCTCCAAGGGTTCAAGGGTGCTGGGACCTTGGCAGCCTTGGCAGGTGGCTACCTTTTCCAGGAGGGGGACGATGCCAACAGCTTGTTTTTGATCCTGACTGGTCAGGCAAGCTCGTGTCGTTCAGCTTGAGCTTGAAATAAGTCTCCTTATATGTTGTATCTCAACTGGCCCCAGGGATCTAACTTGGGTGCTGCTTCCTGGTGTGGTTTTTGGTGAGACTGGAAGCGGGTTTCCCAACTACAAGCCACGTGCTGTCAAGCAACTGTACTGAGAGCCTCAATTAGCAGACAAGTTTCTACACTCTTGAGCATGGCAGCCTTGGCTGAACGAACAAATGCGAGACGGCTGACTACAGGGACTGTATGGCAACGGGGATACAACTGATGTAGCACGGTTTATTCAATTTGTGTTTAAGATATAATATAATACCCAATATGAAGTCATCAACAGGTCTGATGCTGAGTGGCTTAAAGACAATTTTTTGTTAAATGCTGCTTTTGAAGAACACAGACTATCATGATCCTCCTAAACTGTCAACCATCCACATATCTATGAAACAGATCTTGCACACCCAAAGAAAGCTCAATCAGGCAATCCTCGTGCACTCAGACCAGGTAAACCTCCGCAGCGAGACTCATGTGGCCATGGCCTACGACAAGGTCAAAAGCGCTCCAGCACTGTGGCTTGGATGACGTTTGAAGAGATTTGTTCGAACAACAGATGAAGAAACAACTTAAATAGACTGGCAGTTGGAACTGGATTTGGAAAGAACACTCAAAACTCTGTGTTTTGTTCATTCCAGTGCGCCCCATGGATTCTTGCTTGCGGTGAATTTTCTTGGACGGGCTGAGAAATACATGCGTAGATGAACTGCAAAAAAAATAGATGCCTATTTCATGACATCCCTTTTGCGCAGCAGTTTCAAGAGACGCCGAGACGCCTGTGAAATGTGAAACGCCACCTGAAACAAGGCACCGTGTCAGTTGAGATCATGTTACCTGACAGTCTTAATTAGTTGAACATCTGGCAAATCAAGAACTGCACAAATGTGCATACATCACCTACTTAGTAAGGACTTTTTGGTGGCAGAGAGAGTCAAATAGAGTACAATACAACTGTTTTCTACGATAGAACTGATAGAACTCTCAAACGTTCAATCTGAGCAAGTACCCGACTCTTGGCAGTTGAGACCACGTTGCCGACCGATGAGACCACTACACATCCGCCATGTTACATGTAGGGAGTTTTGCAGCTTGTTTTGTAGATGAATTGCCTTTGGCTAACCGGCAAACCGTTTGTTTTTCTGGCTGCGTTCCTTTGACCATCCCTGGGCTTTCGTTCAACCAGGTTCGTGAAATCCTGTGTGTTGATCATCCCATGTGTGAACCTCATGTCGGGCAATATCCGGCTTGCTTTTTCTTTTGGTGGTATCCTAGAAACCGTACATTCCTGGGACAACTGCGGCGTCAGAGTTATTCAAATCACGTCAGATTTCTCGACAGCGAGGCTCTTGCCGCAAGACCTCTTCAGCCAGTCTCGTGGTCCGGGACATCAGTCAACTCTCATGGGCTCCCTGCTACTCCTGGCATCGCTACTAGGAGCGAGGACGCTACTAGGAGGTGAAGTCGAAAGCGAGAGAAGATGAGAGATTGGTGAGAAGGTGCGACAGAAATCCGTTTATCGGTACACAGTATGTTCGCTTGGGAACGCTTGGGAAAGGTTGAGGGTACTGGGGTCAGTGGAACAACGCCTTAAACTTGTGCTTGTGGCAAGTTGCCCCAGCTTTTTGGAGATTAGATGATAGGAAGTTTTGTTGAAGAGGATCACATTAACAACACCCACCACAATCCCCAAAAAATTTAGGTTGCACCCTTTAGCTTGCTGCAACGGCACTTCTTTTGTTTGAATGAAAGCGGTTTTTGGAGGTGACAAGCAAGTACAGAACTGGTAGGTGCCAGCCACTCCCTGAGTGTGTCAATCTTTGTCAGAACGAGGTCCTGTTCTGCAAAATGAAGGATGTGTCCTGCTTTGAAGATTTCATCATGTCGGTTTTCTTCACGTCGGGCCAGCTATAGCTGATCAGACCAGGTTGTGTTTTAGTGGTTGCAAGCTCGTTGTGGCCCCCCTTGAGGTCAACCCTTTGTGCTGCGCAAGCAGAAGGATCGCATCCGCACGCAAAGCGTTTGGGGGGCCCAGCGACCCGGTCTTCGGGAATGATTCCATGGGAGAACTCTGAAGTTTAGGGGATAGATAAAGACAGTTCATGAAGTTCCTCAGTTCATGGAGTGCAGGACGCTTTGACCCCACGCGCATCATCCAAGCATTGTTTTGGAACATGGAAGTGTCACCACGGACCAGTCACTTACCAGGAAAACCGACTTCAGGAGCCTGGAGGGAGAGAATGAAAGGAATAGTAGAGGAAACTTAGGAAAAGGGAAATAGTGTTTGCCTTTTTGTGGTCAAGCGCTCTACTATAGTTAGTAAAGTACATGTAGCTGTGCTCAGTCCGGGGAGCTGCAACTCAGACGCAGGCCAAACCTTTTCTGCTTTGATAATTTCACTGACCGCTGATGTCAGGGACACGACCTGTGAGCGAATGACTTGTATGACTAGCTTCTTCGTATGTCATGATCCCCGGCACTGTCATGCTCCCAGGCGGTCGCCAGCCTCCGCAACACTGCTACGAGTGCTGAGCTGAGCCGGGTGGAGAGTGCAGTCCAGGGAAATGGAGATGCCCTGAGTGAAGATCACCCGAGGCCGAAAAGCATTTTGCGACCGTCTCAGTGATGTATGTGCAGACCACTAAGACTAGGAATTGAACGGAATTTTGGAGCGGAAGCAAAACCTGCATGATGGAAGGGCCTTTTCAATGGTGCCCCAGGTTTCCCTTACGGTTCTAGTGGTTGTCAGTATGTGTTCAGCATGGTGCGAACGGTCTTGCCATATTGTGAGGCGAAGGCTCAGGGGGTCCCTCTACCACGGTGGCCTTCATCTTCCCCGAGAGCATCCTGGAGTTCGTCGGGAGCCTTGAGACTGGAGCATTGGTGGACTGACCGGACCGGAGCGAGAACGCCTGCAGACTTGCCAAGGTGTGAGTAAGAATCCCACCCCCTTCATTGGAAAGTCGTACCATATCTCAGACCGAGACCTATTTGCTGCTACCCTTCAATCTTTGATGCGCTGCAAAACTGTTGGGAAGTTTGTGCTTTTGGCCAGCTGTATTCACGAAAGGTAGCTTGAGTTACCTGAGTTCTCCTTGCTTTAGCAAAAATGTATTACAATCAGGATTTGGTGATTTGCATTGAGTTTGGTCCTGTAAGAAGGGATTCTGTTCGACGGGGAATCCCCCCTGCGCCGTCACTGTTTGGGTCCCATCCATCCACCTTTGACGCCGTCATTGACTTCTACCAGGGTTACTTGTGATTGCCTTCTACCTTTCGTTGACCCCCTTTTCTCTCAAGTTTGGTTGGGGCCAACTTCCGTCTCCCCACACAAAGGCTTGACAGTTGTTTGGGGTTGTCGCTGGAGTACAATACAGTGTCCTTCACCTGGTCTTCATCATCCTGATGCCAAGAAGCGCACTAAATTTCAAGTGGAACTCTTGCAAACTACCTCGTCCGAGGTGTCCAAACACTTTCGGGAGAAGGAGGCACTGATGGAAGGGGCATTTGCACTGGGAGAGAGGCCACTGGCAGAAGAATTGATGTTTGAATATCGGGATTCAATCTGGTTTGTTACCCATATTAATGGTGTAGGGTGTGCTGCTGCTGGATAAGTGCTGTGGAGATCCCCTCACTGGAAGTATGGCTTGCAAGGCACAAGAGAGGGAGAGCATAGCGGGGGCGCAGAGTTACATTGTTGAAAAGTAACCAGTCACCCAGCCTGAACATGACCAAGAGGCATTGACATCGATACCACGGCTTGTGTTCTATTCCAGGCCGAAAACCGTTGGCACATCGTGCGGCACTTCGCCAAGCAGCAGAGACTCTCTGTGCAGGTGTGAACGGAATTTGTTCCCGGCGAGCGTGCATGGAAACTGATCTTGCAATTGAGGTTTGAAAGATAATTCTGGTATTCTCTATCAGGGAAGCTCATCAACAGGGATCAAAGCTTCGGTTTTGACAGGTTTAAAGTTTGAAGGCTCCACGAAACAACAGGCCGCAAAAAGCAATCTATTAGGTTGGAGGAGGCCATCCCTATTAGGTTGGAGGCCATTGCTACTGTAGTAGGTTGAAGGCCATTGCTATTAGGTAAAAAGCAATTTGCTTGTTGACACAGGACTTGGACCACCTGTGACAAACACTAGCCTTTGAAACCCTGGCATCGTAGAACTTCTGGGCGATGACTGCATGGATCCTACAGTCTTGATGCGCATCCCATTGCATCCGCTTTGCACAGGGTGGCCCCAGCTACAGTAGTTGCGGGTGACAAGGTCCCACAAGCTTCAAAGTTTGTGTTCACTTTTTGCAGGGCTTGTCGTTGGTCTTGGGGGCCACCGTGATACAATCTCCTGGTGACATTTCCAGTTTGGGGGAATTGTTTCGGTGCTGAACGGCTTGCTGCCAGGTGTGCTCTAAGCACCAAGAAGTCTTCCAGGTCATGGCCTTCCCGAGGATGTTGCGCAGACGGTCCCCGATCGGAGCATAGACACGATTCGCAGGTAAGTAAACCGCTCCGTACGAATCATAAAGTCCTCCCAAGGTAAATAACAACATTCCGCTTGAGAACTCGGTGTTTTGTGTTCCCTAAATGTGTAAGTTTGTTCAATTCGTCCAAAAAACATACAAAACCTGGGTGACTCAGGTAACTTCGGTAAGTCACCACGAAGTATCCGTTTTGACTCAAAGTGCCGGTTCAGCCATTCCTAAGTGGTCGTTTCAGGTTCCAGGTACATGACTGTCCTTCAAGCACGACGCGGAGCCGTGAGAGCCCAATGTGAGAACGATGCCAATGTTCATGAGAACGGTGAAAAAACATGGCTCATGGCAAAACTGTTGAACATGGTGACCAATGGTTTTGGCGACGAAGCAACATCGTGGTCAACTTCATTCACAAAGCAATCATGTTCAATGGCGATAGCTCGATGCCGATAAAACAGCAGCAATACAGTATGTCAAAAGGAGAGTGGGTTTCCGGAAATTTCCTGCAACATGTTTATGATGATGCAGTAGAAATAATCAAGACACTGGCGTTGTGGAATGTAAGAACATGCAGTCTTTCAGTGAAACGACCAATTTCAAGGTGCTTACTTTAGCGAAGAGGATGATAACATTGAGGTTGCAATTGAGAGGTTTGTTGAAAAGTGCACGACTAGCATAGTTGATCACCCGCCAGCAAACCTCAGATCTTCCAGTCAATATTTATTTTGTTATAATGAAGGCCAGAGGTTGAAGATGTATCCCTGTTGGAGGACAGACACCAACTGACAACCGACACATATCCACAAGTCCAAAGGGCATCGATTGATGTTGGTGTGCAAACCACGGGCGCCTCCCACCAATCAACCGCAGGACATGCTCTATAGACGGCAAAACGCCTTGTTAGAAGTTGTTTTTGGGAGGCAAGTTCCATGTGAAGCCTCAAAAACACACTCTAGTGACTCTAGTATATGATCCAAAGACGGGACAGGTGCTACCAACAAATCCTACACCTATGATCCTGCTTTGATGTGGCACCCGGCACCGCTCTCTCCCTCTCTCCCTTGGAGGAGCTATTTGTTCATCAATGCCGGCAGCAAACCACCGTTGGAGGCGGGGCTGTTCACTCACAGGCTTTTGGACGTTGTGAAAGTGAGTCTCTGTACATGCTTGACCACTGCCCTGCATTCTGGAGGGAAAAGGGTGAAGACTTTGACCGTGGTAAACTGGTGAGGGAGCGCAGCACAGTACAAGAGGTTGAGTGTCTGGGGTGAAACAGACGGTGTAAACTGGGAGGATCTCCAGCAACTTGAGCTCAACAGCAGATTCATTGCCTTATTGGAAATTTGAAAGGGATTTTGACGGAGTCCGTTTGTGATTTTGTGGCTCCAGGCTCTACGTGATGTTCTTAATGAATTTAATGATTTCCATCAACATTTCGCGTGTCATCACCTGATATGACATGCCTCGAGTTTTGCAGTGGTACCAACGATGGGTGATCATTCGACCCCACGGCAGACGAGCTTGCATCACCGGTTTGAGGAGCTTTTGTTTGTACTTGATTCAGTGTAAATCGAAAGAAATACCAGTTCTCCAGCACCGTACAGCAATTGTTGGAATTACTGTTCTCTTTATTGGGAGTTTTACATTAACACCAGTCTTTGTCAAATATCATTGGATGGGGTTCACATGAATCGGTATGCTTTGAAGCCGTTCAGGAGGCTCACCTCTACTTCGTCATGGAGGGGGAGTTGGCACCCTAAGCGGAGACAGGGGAGACGTTATGTCAGAGATGATCCACCTCACCTGCACGTGTTTGTGTATTTGTATTCATTTGCTGTTCACTGTTCACCTGATGTGTAGCAATTGAGGAACTGTGGAGTGTCTCATTTTTACGACCGAATACACAAAGCCGATTCAGCTGCTGAAGAACCGCTTTCGGAATCTAAGTGTTCCAAGCAGTCACTGGCTTGCATTTACTCCACAGGCCCCTGAACATGCTCCATCAGGGATACGCTTCACGGTGTAAACTTGGATAAACTTGGTGACTGAAATGACTGGTAGATCAAAAGCTCAGTCCCCTCGAAGAGCATGGTGAAAAGAACAAGGCATCAAGGGTCTCTTATTCAAGACGCTTCGCGTCGACAGCCGCCCACACCGCGCACGAACAGCCGAAGTTAGTGAAATGGAAGTAGCCATCTAGGCGCCAGGTTGGGGACAAGTGCAGCCATCGGCGCCAGGTTGGCTGTCTTACGGCTGCGTTGGGCCAACTTCGTCTACCTTGGGGCCCACAATGGTGATATAACTCCGGCCTTGCCAAAAGCCATCGAAAAATACACCTCCAAAACGCTCTCCCCAGTGGCCCTGCAGCCGAGCAAGAATCAACGCAGCAACCACCCCAAAGCACAAAAACTCCTCCAAAGCGCTCTCCCCAGTGCCCCTGCAAGCACGACGTAACGAAAAATCGGCCAAAAATGTACCTCCAAAACGCTCTCCCCAGTGGCCCTGCAGCCCAACCATGGCCGCGCACGCGCGAAAAAAAAGAGCCCCCCGCCCTTGCAAAGCTATTTGCATAGCAGCAGAGCTTAAGAGCCCCAATAGCACGCCCTGCACCGACAAGCGGTGTGGGCAGATTTTCCTCGATTCCTGCTGATTCGCCGGCCGAAGCAACAAGAGTTGCCAAGTCAGCAGAAACACCCACTCACAAGCTATTGTCCTTGGCCTTCACTTCCTCGGGTGCACAGATTGTGGGAAGCAACAAACAAACATTGGGTGTGTTCGGGTGTGTTTGGATAGTAAGTTGAGCGGCTTCGACTTCGGATGAAAAGTTGACATTATCCTATGAAAACAGCCTGTCCATTTGGAGATGAGGCTGTCAGTGGTCTATCCTGTGAGGACTGAGCTCATTGTGTGGTTTTGTGTGGTCCGAAGCCATTCTACACAAAGTTACTGAACTCAACATTTGTAGAGAGAGAGAGAGAGAGAGGAGGGACTGAGAGGACGACGTATTACGACCAAATTGGGCAGAAGATACTTGCTCGGTGCCTAGGAGACTTGTTCTCCTTTCCTGAATGTGGGAACCGTCACAGCTTATTAAATGTGTCGACCCCATACAGTGGGTTATCCAAGTTGTTCCAGTGAGCAGAAAAGACTGTTTGCAAGTCATTGCGTTGGAGGTCTCATTCAGGTTGTTTGGTGGCTAGGTTTCACGCACTTAGATGAGTGCGAGGGTTCAGTTCTCAAGGATCTGCCAAATCTAAACAATGCGTACATATGCGAACACCTGGACCTAAACTTGCGAAGTCAACATGCTTTCAATGTTCATGGTGCTTTGCATCCTTTTTTTGCCAGGAAGGACTCCCTAGGCCGCTCATCTGGCAAGGCTAGCACGGTGGCTTCTGTCCTTTGAAGCTATATACATCGGAACTCTTTGATTGAGGAGGCGACTAAACCCAAGCTGGCAATGCAATGCAAGGGATCATGTAAGTGACATTGACCGGGTCTTCCTCCCCAGCGAGCAAGACTCACATGTAAGAGGTAATCTAGTTGAGGAGCCAATACCACAAAGGGGATTTGGCATTATGAATCTGTTGGGGTTGGAGTGGAAAGCTTGGGATCTTCTTCTGAAGACTGCCAAGATGAAAGTGTAGAAATGGACTCCGAACCTCTCTTATCAGCACCGGCATCAGTCGCCGCAGCACGATGCTGCGTTTGTCTTTGTGGTTTGCCTAAATATACATATATAATCATATATATATAGTTATAATCTACATTAATCTACAAATATATAACTATATATACACATAAGCTTCTTCAAATTGTGTGGTTGCAATAAGTATTGCCCTGACTGATCTAGTCTGGGATGGAAGCTCTTGGTGAAACTCCAGAGCCCCGTCTCACGAACACTAAGTCCGAGATATGCATGCACCAGAGTCACCGAGAAAATTCCCTCAGCGATCTTGTTGCTGGCACCAGCCAGGCGAGAAAGGAGACCGTGGGCAAAGGCTCCTTGATTGGAGAGGCATCGCATGTTGCTAATCGGAGCGTTACCTTTTTCTGACTGATTCTTCAAACCCTCACAAAGCGAGCAGCTCAAGCATTTTGCTGAGGAACATTGCCTTCTCCCGTCCTTTGTTAGGGCCTGTCAGGGCCATGCTAGACTATTGAATCGTCCGAGTTCACCCGGAGATACCCGGAGCAAGCTGAGAGGCGGCTCTCTATGGGGAAGCATATCCGCATCTAGATCGCAAGAATCAGAGATGTGGGAAGGGTTTTCATATGGTTTCATGGTTTCTATGGGACCTCAAGGGCATTGATGAGCATTGTCAAGCGATGGGTGTCCGTTCTAGTTCCATTTTTGCGTTTTGGACGTCTTCGATTGGATAGCAATAAGTTTCTTCTTTACCCTTGAAGCACCAGCCAATGCAGAGGGAATCTAAACCTGTTTAAATACAGTTTTCAGGGGTCACCTGGGCATGGCAACAGCAATTTTTAGACCGCCTGCATGATCATCAAAGCTGCTTTTCTTCCTGAAGTTGATCTATTGGCCCGGTGAGGTTGCCTTGAGGTTCTTAAGCGGCAGATGGATGGTTGCAGATTATGGTGAACTCCCAAGCTTCTATTCGTATCTCCATGCGCCGGCGTTTGCCCAACATTTAGATGTATTTTATTGACTTGCGCTCTGGATAGTTGGCTCATGTGAAAATTGTCGCATCCACTGCGCCACGTTAGCTCTTTGCTGGCCATTCTGCACTGGATGGAATTCCTCACAGTGAGGGTAGTATTTGTATATATATACATATACATATAGTTATATATATATACATATATACATATATATATATATGTATACATATATATATGTGTTTTTTTGCTTGAAGTGCTGAGTGGCGATCCCAAACAAGTTGAAATCTCCCACCGAGAAGTTTGCAGCCGGTTGACTAGGTGTGCGGTGGTCTCCACATCCGAAGTGAAGGCAAGCACGGGAAAGTGATGGGCAGGAACCTGATCTTTGCAAGTCTCAACATTTCGAACTCGGACTTGTTTGGTACATACATGTTACATGATATTACAATGATAGATCATGAATGATCATGATAGTGCTAAAAATACAGCAATCCTATCAACAAAGTGTATTGAGTTTGTTTGTCTCTGAACGGGTGTGGATTGCCACGGAAGCCTTGTTGAGGTCTTGGTTCTGACGGCCTCGGACTATCTGCACCAGCTCATGAACAGGCACTGACCTCTCCGGCTACCCTTGGAGCCTAGAAGTGCACAACCCACTGCTTTGTTGGGATGTTGGAGTGGAATATATATATATATAACCACAGCTAGAGCATAGTTTTGCATGATCACGAAAGCTAGCATGCTAGCTGAGTTTTTCTTTGCTTTAGCAATGTTGCGGTGGGAGGGGCTGCGTGCCTTAAAGATTGATATATCAAGCTAACCCCCCCCCCCCCGCGGTTCAACTCCCAGCTGCGCCGCTTCGCTTATTGTTGTGGTGCATACCACCATTCCACTGAATGAATTGCGTGATAGCTCTGCTGGTGTTCAGACAGCGGCAAGGTGTGCATATGTTTGTGCAATTGTTTGCATACGGTGAGCACGCTCCATTTCACCTCCATGCTACGTCGTTCCTTCAGCCTCCGTCCAGGGTTGGCGTCGTTTTGCTGGTTCGAGTGGCTCATTCAATGCAGAAGTTAACAAACTGATAGGTATAATGATAATGAGTTGCGTGTATACTTGAGATCATTTGAGGTAGTTCATGCTTTGCTACTTGTTGCGGCTTGGTGCTGCTGCTGCTGTTGCTGACGACGCCGCTGCTGCTGCTGCTTGCTGCTTGCTGCCGGTGGTGCTGCTGCTGCTGCTGCGGCTTGGTGCTGCGCTGCTGCTGCGTGGTGCTGCTGGCTGGCTGCTTGGCGGTTGCTGCTGGCTGCTGGCTGCAGGCGGCTGCTTCTGCTGCTGCTGCTGCTGCTGGCTGCTGCTTGCTGCATAGGACTTGTACTTCACCCTTACAAGTTGTTTACCCTATTTCTAACCTAGTGCATGCATAAGCGGGTGGTAAATTTACTCCCAAGGCTTGCTATAACCATACACAGGCTATTTCCTCAAGACACTCTATTCCTGATACCTTTTACATCCTTTTTACCAGTAATTATCCTGCACTACGGACGCCCTAGTGTATGCACAGTCCTTGTGATGCTTACCCCTCGTTCCGGCTCAAGGCATACATAAGCGGGGGGGTAAATTTACCCCCCAGATTTGCCATAACCATAAGCCGGTTATTTCCTCAAGACACTCTGCTCCTTATACCTTTTACCAGTGCTTGTCCTACACTACGGACGCCCTGGTGTTTGCACAGTCCTTGTGATGCCAGAAATGCTTACTCCTCTTTCCGGCACAAGGCATACATAAGCGGGTGGTAAATTTACCCCCCAGATTTGCAATAACCATAAGACGGCTATTTCCTCAAGACGCTCTATTCCATACACCTTTTACCCGTGCTTCTCCTACACTACGGACGCCCTAGTGTATGTACAGTCCGTATGATGTCAGAAATGCTTATCCCTCAAGGCATACAAAAGCGGAGGGTAAATTTACCCCCCAGATTTGCCGATCACGCATCTTCGTGCCTGCCAACGAGTGCACCCGGGTTGTTCCAATGTACCCTTCCCAGTCCCAGTCAGCGATGTCACATTTACATTCTTTAGCGCAAAGTATGTACATAGCAACCTTCCTCCCAGAACATGTACTCACTACATGCTTTGCCGACTATGTGACTAGTACATCCGGTGCGATTCGGCTAGCTTTCGACCTCCTCCCCCTGGCCTCAAGTGTGGTTGTAACTACAGAAGACAACAAATAGATACAAATAGAAAAGTACCCCTTTTCAATTGATGATAGGAACACCGGTCTTGTTCATCCGATGTATGACCATAGTAGCCTTGCTCAAGAACCAATCCTCCGTCTCTGCTGGCAGCCCTTGGACAGGCAATGATTAATATTCGGCCTGAGGTTCACTCTCTCTTCAATGCTATTTGACACGAACTCTTGAAGCCATGGAGTTAAGGTCCAACATACCTGCGATTCATGATAAGTCGCTTCCGTCTCTTTGGCTTTCCTGCTATAGGATTTCTATTCGTTCTCCCATGACCAGCGCAATGTGCCACTCCTGTGCTTCTCAGACTCCATGGAGTTCAGCTACTTTTGCCAGGTCTTCTGTGCTCTCACGGCCCGAAGGCTATGTGCCACCTGAAGGCTGCTTTGCGCATGATGATTGTGACACTGTGATGACCTGCAGTGGGATTCAGATCACATATGATTGTATCGGTATTGGTCGGCCATAATATGTGGCAGAATCTCTTGCAGAACTAGAGTCATGTGTGATGTTTGTTTGGAATGTGGCTTCAGTGCTACTTTACTACCTTTGCAGAAGCTGCTTTTGCCCCACGCTTGCAAGCTGTGCAAGCTGCATGAGGACCAGTGGGAGATGCTGCTCAGGTGAAAGGCGCGGAGGGATTCGAAACTTGAGAAGAGGATTGACATGGTTTTTCGGTGTTGCCACACTTAGATCCATGCTCGCAAGAGCTCTATCAGTTATGACTTCCACGTGAAGCTAGCACTTTACGTTACTGAAAGCTAGACCTTGACTTGCAGAACGGCAAGAGTGCTGGGTCGGCAAAACTGAATTGTTGGAACATCACGCTTTAGCACTTTACCGAAAATTGGGGTAACAGCTGGGTCAACAGTTCAAAAAGAAGAAGTTAAAATTGCGCAGGTACACAGGAGTGATCAGCTCCCGCTTCCTGGAACTAGTGCAAAGAGCTTCGTTGGGCAGAGCCTTGCACATCCTCTCTCCCCCCCTGCGATTTTGCACAAATGAATACACGAGGTGTGGTCGTTCTCCTTCGGTACAGGAGGTGACACATACACCATCATCATCATCATCATCATCATCATCAGCATCAGCAGCAGCAGCCGCATCGGCAGCGGCATCGGCATCAGCATCAGCACCATCACTATCACCATCACCATTTTCTGAGACATGTATTTGAGTTGGTGTCCGTCTTGCGGATTGAGAAGGCCTTTGTGCAAAGACACTATATGCCAGTTGCATTCAATCAACCGCGACAATGCAACCGCTACTGGTAGGCATCGCTGAACTCAACTCTTTGGTATTGCTGGAATTAAGAATCACTACACCCGAGAACGAATGAGAAGAGCTGTCCAGAAACTGGGACTTGGTAACGGAGTTGTAGAAATTCAATCACAGTGATGGAACCTTTGGCGCACTGTTCTTCACAATCGTGCCAGCAATATTCTGTGCCCGAAGTGACAACTCCGAATTGATGTTTGAGAATGTCTTTCCAGAATCAGAAGTCTGATTTGCTCTTTTCTCGCCAGTGATGTGCTCAGTTCACTTCAATTGTACCCCGAGGGCAGGTCACACTTCCATAAATGGACGATATTGCTGAACATCAAGAAGACAAGTCGCATCAATGTAGTGACCGGACTGAATTCTTACGGTGAAGACTAGGTGACTATACTTACTGTACTCTATAGATACAAATCGAAGAGGCTTAAGGCCTTCAGTCAAATGAATTCTGAAGGTGGACTTTGCATCAGCATTGAAAGAACTTCCTGTGGGTGATATCGGGTCCTAAGTTGGCGAGGCCTTCGGTGTCCCGTGATCCTTGTCGTTTGAAGTGGTGTGTATTGCCAAAACTGATCTGTCAAACTGAGACGCTCCATCTTATCCCCAAGTTGGTCCTCCAAAACATCATTGGTTCATATTGACATCCAGTGCCGATTCCGGAGACTCAGTGGCCACACGCAGTGGATGCGTGTGGACCAGAAACCGAAGACCTGGAACATCCCACCAGGCCGCCGAAAACTCATCCAAGAGACCACCTCCTTCACGGCAAAGACCCTGAGGCTGGACGAATGAATACATGAATGCATGGATTTACATGAATGATTTCAGTTGTAGCTGTGCTTTTGCATGCAGGGGATGACAAGTTTGCTTTGATCGCCACCTTGTTGAAGCTTCTTTTTCTGAGCTTCCAAGTCCAAAACATGTTGAAATCCATCAGGTCCCATCAGTGCATTTCAATGGACCCACCGAGACGAGTTTAGGCCGGAAATGATTTGAGGCAGTGAAGGGATCTGTCTTTTCTGACTCAACTACAGGACCCCTCATCACTTAGATTCCTCTGCGCAATAAGACCGATTCGCATGACTATGAGGCTCAAGAAAGACCAGGTTCACGTGAAGGCAGGGATTGCAGAACGAACCGGCCATGAATGGGTTGGGTGGATCAATGAAAGATGCCTAGTTTGTCACAGAGGCAAAAGGGTTCTGCAGCGAAGGGAGTTCCATTCAGTGTCTAGACAAAGTAGAAGTGAATGAACGGTAGCTTTCACTTCGTACATCTTGGTACCTATGTTTTAGCACCAGGCCACCAATAGTTGGTTGTTCTAGCACCAGGCTATGAGGCCACAAGGGAGCATTCCCAAACAAGACGTCCAACGACGCCCTTAAGCCTTCAAAGCACCTCCTGATGGAGTAGACAAGGCACAAGCTTTAACAATGGGATTAGAAGCGGAGTAGTAGCGACGAACACAACAAAACCACAATTATATACAGTATTGTATCAAGATCGAAAACATTCAGACTGACACGAAAGCCAGAGCAAGAACAAGAAGCAAGCCGCCCCTGTCTGGGTGGAGTTGGGCTGTGGATCGACAACCTAGCTATATGCCCCGCATATATGACTATTCCTGCAAAACGTCTCTCGGCGGCTGGTGCCCTGTCATTTCCTGCAGTTGCCTTTCCTAAGGCCTTCAAAAACCCAGAGCGACCCGGAACATAGCTCACACAGTGTCCCTGCTATAACACAGCTGATACTTTTTGAGATCTTCACTTCACAGCCACTGGACGAGCCCAAGCACCCAAGGCCCCTCGGTACATGTTCCAAAGGGCAAAAAGTACCGCCTTACACTCGAAGGACCGAGAGTGGAAGGCCTTGCAACTTCGAGCGGAGATGCCAAGCAAAGTGCCGTTGGGCGACCCAGGCAAGCGAAGTCAGTTGGACCGTTAGGGCATATTAGGGTATATTAGGATATATTAGGGTCATTATGGGTTGAATCTGATTAAAATTAAGCATGTTCAACACTAAGCGATGATGTTCGCCCTCTTGGCAAAGCAAGTTGGTTCCGGATTCCAGGAGTGATGGAGTTCTTCTTGTAGTTTTGGCAAGACATATCGGGATTGTCGTACAAACGATTTCCAAGGTGTTGAGCAGAAGAAACGAAGGTCGAGCTCACAGGGTTTGGCAGACCCTCAATTCAGCAGATTCGTAGGCATTGAAACCGGGCTTCGTCCCGGTTTCACCAGTTCGTACCAGTTCACGTCACTTCTCCCAGGCCTGGTGGTCATCATCGCTTGCTCTCGATGGCCAAGAACCAGGTATCTCGAAAATCTCAGGAGGTTCTGGATCATCCCGAAAAGCTAAAGACTGTTTCATGTGTTTTTCCATTTTTTCATGGGTCAGCCGCCCAGAATCGCTGGGTCCAGCTTGCTTGTGGATTTGGATAGGCAACGTGAAGCAGTCTACCCACATGTGATTGCTGCCATAACAAAGGGTTTTGAATGAGCACAAATGAGCCATGCCATAAACCTACTTGCTTGTAATGGGCCTTGTCATAAGAGCTTGGTGCGCAAGGGAAGCACTGCAGTGCGCAAGGTTGCGTAAGAGTTTTTGCGCGCAAGCTTATTTTGGTGTTTGTTGTTTTGCAGTTTGCATTTGATGTTAGAACTGCGTGGAGCAATATGGAGAAGCTTTGGTTGAGGAAGTTTGTTGTGTTTACTGGTACTTGATCTTAGCTTCTCTTGGGAATTCTTTGTTGGGGTGCCATGGTGTTGACTTGTTATCTGATAACTTCTCATGATCTTTCCAGGGCCGGACGAACAACTTGGAAGAAGTTCCTGAGACCTTTGTGCAGAAGGCAGCTGAGAATCCGAGGGAGACTGACATGAAGGAGGAGGAATATTGATGTGTAATTATTGGGTAAAGGATGGTATTGTTAAAATGTGGTTCTTCACGATTCATCAGTATTTTGACAAGCAGACCAGCAGTTGCGAGAGATGTTGGGAGCCATGTTCCTTGTTGATAAGTGATCTCACCAAATATGTATGTGTTCAACAAAGTTTTACAGTTTCACATCCTTGTGGGAAACATGTCATCTTCTACATACATATACTGTATATAATCCTCATCGTCCACTACGTAACCCCGCCAACGTTGGTTTGATCAAGCCCCGGTTTGTTTGATGGTCAAGAGAGTTGCAACAGAATTGCCACCTGAGCAGTCGATGTTTTGTGAGGCCACACAGTCCAGAAGTTGCTAACTACAGACTGCCCTCGAATCTTTCAACGAGCCACTTGCTTTTGGACATGAAATCCAAAGCGCTACTTTTGAAGCCTTTGAACAGATTTACCGTATAATAGTTAAAGATCTGATCTGTTAGACACTTCCTACATGTGAAGGATGACATTCTGACAGAAAACCCATCCAAGACTCCGCTCTTTGTAAGGTGCCCGTGATCCCGGACGCGGGCCGTTCCGGAGATGGATATCTGACGCAGCCTGGCATGCTGGTGGAGTCTTCGGTGAGCAGAACCCCAAAAACCCAAGGGCCGTTGGATGTTTTCCTTTGGAAATTTGTTGCGGACTACAGGGAAATCACTGAAGAGGCAAAAAGGACTCCTACGATGTGTGGACCTTGAGGTTACTTTGCTGACCTTAGTCGATTCAGAGATGCCTGTATTGAGAAACCATGGGAAGAGCAAAAACAACCGCTGACCATGCATTTACAAAGCAATGTTAGAGATCAATGCATTTGTTTGCTTTAACATCACCCTTGCTGCTCAAATCGGATCATTTAACAGCAGACCTTGTACAATTGGCAAGAACACCTCCTGAAGTTCTGCGAGTCTCTAAGACTCTAGCACTACCAAGGAACCGCAGACAAATACCCCAACGGCATGCTGGCAAGATTTCTTTGCGCGTTTTCCTGTGTTCACCATGCTTTGGAGATTCTAATCACGCAGTATGTTAGCATGGTTATTTTGATCATGCAAGAAGATCACTGCTGCATGACATGTACCACCATCATCCCTCGCATATTTTGATATATTTTGCCACAACTACACAACTTGTTTTCACCGTGGATGGGCTGCAAGGTGGGCTTAGGTTCGGAAATTTCACCTGAATGAACACTGAAAGGAAAAACAATGTCCGTTCGAGATGTCAACTAGCGACCTGGATAGAGTAGCACTTCGCACAAAAAGGGAAGACCAGTTTAGTCCAACCAAAATTCAGTTCCAGTGAATGTAGATTTGGGATGTTCTTTCAAGGTTCTTTTTCGGGTCGTTTCATTTAACTATATATCACTTGCGTTTCACATCATTTCATCATTTCACATCATGATTGCTACCCAGGCCCATTAGCAGATGAGTTACCAAAAGCACGCTGAGGCGCTCGATGAACCAAAAGCTTTCCAGCACTTCTCGAGACCTCCAACAGCTTCAGGCGACTTACGGTCTTACGTTGTCCCAATTTGGTCGGCTCGGACGAACGTAACTCAGACTAACTCGGACTGACTGTCAATCCGGAGATCACTTGAACTGCTGGGAGTGTATCTTCAATAAAGTGAAGATCAGATCATGTGCTTCAAAGCTCCAGTGTCGTCGTTTTTGAGCAGATATTGTTTTCCTTTCGCCAAGTCACAAAGATCCATTGTGAACCATGGCTTTTGTGGCTGGCAGGCTGCCCATCGTTCCCACACCGCCTTCCACTACCACGTGGAGGAGATGCTGTGCCATTGTGGTTGTTGTGGGTGAAGAGCCAACAGGCAAAAGTAAGCCCTACGCTGTTGGGGGTTTCTGTAAATGCCTCCATGGTGCCAGCATTATATACCTTAACACGACAAATGATGGCGTACATGTTTGGCCAACAGAAGAAGAGAGATTCTTGATGACCATTGGAACTTAGTTGTATAAGTGATTGGGCTTGCATGAACCTTGATTCTATGCCAAGCATAAATTATGATTTCGTGTGTTTGTTCGATTTCATTTCGCCTTGGTCCACAGGAAATTGGTGGGTCCCCGCCTCCTCGTGCGCGGGTCTTGAGCGTTTCTCCAGGAGCTGCGCCGGGGGGTTGGTAGAGGGCAGACACCGAGAGCAGGCCTTTCATTAATTGAACATGATGCCTCCACAGAAACTAAAACTCTAATAAATATGAACCGGGTGACTAAGTTGCCCAATGTGTTTGTTCTGAACACAGTAGGGGTAGGACTAAGCACACACTTTTGCACATCACGGGTTCGAAGGGAACGTAACAGTGTGCACTCGTTCAAAGAACTCATTCACCAAATCAGCAGTACTCAGTAGGAGATACTCAGGTGAAGGAGATTTACAGATACATCCATACATTTATGAACATAGTAATAATGAATATCAGAGTGGAAAGCCTCGGACTCCCTTACAACGAGGTTTACAAGAAGACGACAGCAATACCTTTCCATTCCATTTGCGTTGGCCTATTTGATCCTCACTTTTGAAGTAATAGACGGAGAGTTTTTGTGAACTTTCCCAGAGCACTTCTCAGTCCTCGAAACCAGTCGGTCAGGGCCTGCGGCAGATACAAGTGCTTCTTTCTTATCACTGTGAGAATCCCTCAACAACGGCATAGTTGTACAGCATGCCGTCGGGGTTGTCGCATCATTGGCCAGACTGCTGATGTATTGCTGGCGGCACCGGTTCTATCCATGCTGCATATACTCCACTTTGTAGGCGCCGGGGTGCCCTCTGTAGTATCATTGGGTAGGTGCAGGGTGCTTTTATAAACTTAACTTCGGCACATCCTGCTACAAACCTGTGTCGTTGAAGGATAAACATTGTGCAGGTCGCAACCAGTCTTGTCAACCGCGGTATGACAACTTATGACAACCTTAAGATTTTGCCATGGTGGTTGCGCACAAGCCTCGCGGTTGCCAGTTGCGTCATCAGCACGCAGACCCTCCTTCCCAGGAAGTCGAATGCTAATGGCCTGCGGCGCCATGTCACCGTGGGAGCCTGAATGAGCATCCCTTGAAAAGTGTTTTACAGACCCTCGCTGTAAAGTCTGAGCCACAACTTTATGTGTATATATAATATAACATAATATATATATATAATATATATATACACACTCACATTATTGAATGTCAGGAGGTTTGTCCTTGACCTAGGATGGGGCGTTGTTTGTACAAGACTATATATCCCTTCTTGCTCAGGGTTGCATGCAGCGGGATTGTTGCAGGAGAGGGGTTTTGTTGACGATTGATTTGGGATTTTGGTGGGGCTGTGAAAGCCTGAAGATGCGCTGTCGTTTCTGCCGGTTTGATGTTTCTGCCGGATGCGTCGTGGTAAGGTGCCCTCGCTCACGAATTCTGGAACCTGAAGGAACGGAGGCGCCATCAGATCATTTGATGTGGTTTGCACTGTGAGGGGATGTAGAGTTGCGTGTTGTGTGCATTTGATTCCGTTTGGGGCCCTATACTCGATCCGAAAACAATATTGTTGGTTTTGATTCACGAAAACAAGAACACCCGACATTGCCATTGCATGCCAGGATGCCACATGTTGCTGGGGCAGCCCATGATGCGAATTGTGCGGCTGCACAGGGGTGAAGAATTGGGCATGGGTTCACTAGCACTACACATATGCACAGCCACATACCTAGTGCAGTATTGGTTTGGGCATCTAAATCCATGAGAGGAGATAGGAACCGTATGGACCTTTTGGTTGTTTGGTTGAAGAGTATCATGTATCATTTGCGTAGATTCATCCCAAGTCTAGGTAGTAGTCAATTAGGACAAAAATGCCTTGACGCCGGCATTCTTCAAGAAATGGGTGCATGGATACAAGCCGTTGTTGGCTGATGTGTTGGAACCACAACATTACATCCAGACGTCTCCAGGATCGTTGCCCGAAACTGGGCCTGGTCGAAGATCGACCAAGACTGCGCCGTGCGCGCGGCGAGAAAAAAAACATGAAAAGGACAAGGGGATTTGTTTGAGCTATGAGAACATGTTGAGACAACCAAAACAAAGCAATGCAGCAACTTCAAAAATCAAGGCCTCAATTCAAGCCAAGTGCTGTGATTTCTTGGCATTGTCAATTTGCGTGGCACTACATTTCAATACCAAAGAGGTATTCGCCAAAGAGGGGTTCTCCACGCGACTGGTCTCTTGGGTCTGGCCTCATGCGGCACATTGGAGTCCAGTCGACAAGGTATGTTGAAATTGAAAGCATCTCCCGCCCAACACAGAATTGAAAATGAAGAAACCTCCAAAAGAAGAACATTCCGCATGATCGAACGCTTTCGATCGTTTGAGGGAAATTAGATAAAAGCAAGTCAAATTTGTATGTTGAATAAAGAGTCGTCTCCTGCCACAAAAGGTTGAGCTGCTTTGCTACAGGCAAAGTCTTTGGGCCTCACATTCTAATTCTAAGATTCTAAGAGTAGTTGTTCACAACAGATGTCTAATACAAGGGATATCGGGATAATATCTGACCATCCCACCCCCCGACTATCTCCACAGATGTTCTCTTTAATACTCACCATGGACCATGTGCGTCAATTTGTTGCTGCGGTCTTGGGCTCAAGCGCTGCAGTTTTTTGAGGCGCTGCTAGATGTTGTTTTTTGGATCCAAATGATCGGGCTTAAAGGGCTCAAAAGGATTGGTAGGAATTGTAATTGTTTTTCATGTTCTGGTGATGTGCCCATCTTCCAGACACGACTCCATTCAGGAAATCCAAGAAGTAGAGAAGCCTCAAAAGATTTGTCAGATTTGACCCCAAGATTTGTCAGGTAAATTTGAGACGACTGCCAGAGGTATCGTGTAGCAGTGTAGCGTCACTCGATCGGAGTCCCAAATCTGCTGTACTCGGGAAACTCGACAAGGCTGGGAAAGTGAAGAGGGACCCTTTGGACATCGGATAACGGCCAGTTTAGCTTCGGTTTAGCTTCACCAGACTAAAAGACGTAGATTTCAATTTGACCTGTTTCACCCACAGCCTCCAATCAGGAAATCACCATGTGGCCATGTGTACTTTTGTTTGCTACACCGTGCCGTGCTTCCAAGCGCGGGCTAGAAGTGCACATGTCTTGAAGCCATTGAACCAGAATAAAGCCAACAAGTAAGAGCCATGAACCGTTGGCACTCTCGTCCCAGCTGGCCGCAGGCAGACTCACGATGTACCATCAGCAGGCGGATGACACCATTTTTCTGATGGGGAGACGCTTGAAACCGATGCTTTTTTCACAGAACTGATTTGCAATTTCTATTTGTGTTGCAGCGAGAGTATCCCACTTTGTGTATCCTTTTTTCTTTTGGAATGGCCAAGGAAGAGGCTGGGCCAGCTCTTGCAAACGGAAGCATTTCTCAATTGGAACCGGGGAGTCCATGCATGTGTATAGAGATTGATGGTTCCTGGGGCTGGTTTGGCTTCATTCATGATGAACCACCAGAGTGGTGGTCCTCGGACCGGTGGCCCGCTGAGGTGTTCTCAGCAGTCATTGATATTCAGTGTCTACGGAGTCCACTGTATGTTGTCATCTATGTGTTTTTTTCCAGCGTGCACAGTGAAACATCACAAAATCACAGACGTAACAACCCTGGAAGCAACTATGGTATGTGCCTATGATGGCTGATTGACAATGTATTGTTGCATATTGTTGTCAGACTGCTGAAAGGTTGGATTTCAATTGGTTGATCTCAACAAAGAGCGTCGCTTGGACCATGACAACCTGACCCGCGTAGGTGGAAGGCAGTCCGGGCCTCGGAACAGCCAGAAATGTGAGTGGTACTCAGCGATTAAAATTTGATCAACTGATGAAGGCATTGACCGCACCAACACAGGGAGTCGCAGTTGATCCATTGAGCTTGGCCAATGTGAGAGCATGTGAGAGCATTCTTCTTCTCCTGCTCTGCTCATGCCCTTGACCCCCATATTTGTCTATTCAGCTGTTCAACGATGGACAGCCCACGAAAAGATCCCGCTGTTGAAATGCTCAGCATGGCTCGTTTTCAACTGGACCTTGTGTTCGATGTATGCCACGTTACGAAGAGATTATCATATTATCCCTGTTGAAATAGCTTTCTTCCGCAATCGTTCGAATGGTTTGTCCAAAGCGGTGTGTAGCCTTTTGAAAGTGACACCAAGGCCGCATAGCGTGGGCAACTCACAGGCAGGCAGTGCCATTAGGAACAGATGTGTGGGAAGGGGCTTCGAGACATCCAGTTGTCCATAAGTTCGTGAAGCTGGAGAGAGAGAGAGAGTATGTGCCCCTTGAAACGGTGAGGGGGGGTTGCGCCGGCAACAGCCTACTGGCTGTATCGGCAAAGGAATCTGGACAGAAGTCATTGAAAACTTGCAACCTGCATTTGAGACTGACAACGAGCATAAAGCAACTGCTCATTGCCACAGTCGCAAACCAGGCAAACAGAGCACCAGTGCTGTTACCAACTGGCTTTGGTGGGAACACCCAAGCTTGCGTGCGATGCTCTTACCAGTCTCTCTATACACACATATATATATATATGCTACCGTGAGAGTTGTCTTTTCTGTAGGTGGTCCATCCCGTCCACCCTCGATCCCCCAAAATAGAGAAGTTATTCATCTATTTTTGGCCGCCAGGAAATACAAATTAATTTCAAACAACTCTTGACCCCCAATTTTAATCTATATTAATTGGCGGGGCGATCGGCTAGCATATATTATTTGTTATTTTGGATGGCTTTTATATTATAGAAAATTTCTCATGTAAAATATAGAAGCCATTAAATATGTTGACCATTAATTTTATCCACAAGCATTCTTCATTACCAAACAAAACGGCTGCCGTCAGTAAATTAATGGTCAACCAATAATAAAATACTAGCCTAGCAATTGACCGGGCAATATTTAAATAAAATAAAGCCCTCATGATTATAGATTAAAGAAATAGATTAAACGATACCATGAATTTTAAAGAATGAAAAGATATAAAATTCATGGGCATCATCCAAGAACCACCAAATAAAATGAATCAATGGTGGGCATTCTATCTTTGTAGTTCTAGAAAATACCATGAAAGATAGAATGCTTCTTGGATGATTTGTTCCTTGGCAGTTAATGGTCAACAATTCTTTGTAATAGACGGTTATCTGTAAAATCCATTAACTGCCATATCTTTCATTATTCGTTCATTCCCTTTATTGTATTCTCCATTAAAATATCATTAAAATAAAGGATCATTCACTGTCTTTCATTCTTTCTTATAATTCAATGAGCCCATTTTTCTTTTATATTAAATGGGCGGTCAATGGCTAGTTCTTTATATATTTTATGGATCATGCACCATTATTTTATTATTCGTGATCGCGGTTGTCTTTTCTTTATTGGTGACTCTAGGCCCTTTAAAATAATGGTGCATAAGATATAAATAAATAGGCTTAGGATTTTCTTAATAATAAATAACTTTTCTATAAAATTCTAAGCCAAATATTAAGATGTAGAAGCCTAGCCGATAACCTGCCTTTCATGGTTAAATAGAAGAAAGGCATCATGAAATATAAAGGAATGAACACATTAATGATCACCATTAAAATTGAGGGAGAATAAGTGAATAAGATATAATTTTAATGGTGAGAATGAATAATAGAATGAATCCATAAGATACAGATAAGAAGATAATAATAATGTAATGTCAAGATACGACCATAAGATAGAAAGTTGTCTACAGGAAATTGACCACCTATCCAAATAAAAGAAAAGTGAAGAAGAAACCAAAAGCACAGATAAACACCATTAAATCTATTGGTTAAACAATTTTTAAAATAGAATGAAGTAAAATAAGATGAAGATAGAAGTAAATAATATAATGAATCCTGCATTTCTATTTGGCACAGCTTTTAACATAGCATATTGGCATAAGAAATACCATTCAGGTACTATATGTAAAGGAGTAAGTAA